CCCCTGTTCTCCTGAACACAGAAGAGACAGGCAGGTCCTCTCCAAAGATCCCATTAACCTAGAAGACATTTTAATGAGAAGCGAACGTGGGAGTCCTACAAGGGCCATGGAGCAACCTTGCTTCCTATGAAGGAGCTTCTGACCCTCTCTCTGGCAGACACAGGCCCCACTTGGGGGTGTGGGAGAAGCTCTCTGTTCTCCTCCCTTGACTCTTTCCTGCTCATTAAGGGTGAGGAAACAGCTGCCAAGATGTTTTGGAGGGCGCACATGCAGTGAGGATGGGCCTCCTGGGGCAAATACCACCACTCTCCCACTTCTCCACCTGCTGCCCAGCACTGAGACTGGGACTCAGGACTTTGAAATTCTTCTGGGGCAAGTGTTCCTGTTACTGCCAAGGTCGAACCTGGCCATTTCCTAGCCCACTCTCGGAGTGCTTGAGTCACTTGACTTTAGGGAAGAGGATCTTAGAGCGAGGACCCAGTTGAATTGCATCCAATTGCTAATGACTCACTCCCTTGCAAAGGAGCACGCACTGTTGTGCGGCCTCTGCTCAGCACTGCACAAGGTTTCTCTCTTCAGATTTTTGTTCTTAAGGGTGTGGCTCTCAACGTATCTGTGCGAATCTGCCTCCTGGCCCTCAGAGCTGTGTCCACTGTGAAGAAATGCCCACCACCAAGCATGGTGTCCCCAGAATGAAGAGCCTTAGGGACCTAAGGCACAGGGAAGTGAGGCCTTACGTCCAGGAAGGGACCCCACTCTCTCTAGAGCAATTGGTCTCAAGATAAGGTCCCTGACATCAGCATCAGCATTTTCTGGGAACTCATTGGAAATGCAAATATCCAGGCTCCACCCAAGGCCTCCTGAATCAGAAACTCTGGGGTGAGTCCTGGGAATCCGAGCTTTAACCAGCCCCCCATGTGATTCTGATGTACCCCAACTTTGAGGACCAAGTGATTCAGACAGATTTCAGCATCCGCATTGGTAACTGACGCTGATTCCATCACAACTCTGGTGCCTTCTGCTAAAGGCTGGGTTTGTTTCTGCCTTTTTCCTAGACCTGCATCGAACATATGCCACCACGAGAAACTCCTTAAAAACTCTGTTTTTAGGAACTCAGGAAAGCAGAGGTGGTATTTCTCAAAGGCTCTAGACCAACATCTCTCATGTATCAAAGGCACCCCAAGGTGTGGAGGAACCTTGGAGAGGAAAGTACGGGAATGTTGAGGCGGAGGGGTCACTCTTCAGGGAAAAGCTGGGAGTCTTGGTTCAATCTAGTTTCAAGAAGACTCACATATTCCCTGATTCCCCTACTGCTTCACTGACTTCCTGGTCTCCAGTTGGTTTTTTTTTTTTTTTTTTTTTTTTTTGAGAGATTTTCGCTATAGGGCGCGTGCGCTCGCCAGACAGACAGAGAGAGACATAGAGACAGAAAGCAAGAAATCACCCCCCAGGGGGGATGGTCACGCCGCAATCCCTTCTCCATTTTCCTCCATTCTCCTCTCGGGATCTTGGGCGCACACACACGCGCCCGGCATGAGTTTTAAGCCACCGGGTCCGGGACATGAACTGCAGTCGACTACATGGGAGTCCAGCGACATAGCCATTACATTAACTGCTGGTTCCCTCCAGTTGGGGTTTCAGAGGGACCTCCACACACTCCAATGTCAGTGAGCTGAGATAGGAGGTGTGCAATGCTACAAACCCAAAGTATGTTCTAGGTCCTGCACCAGAACTATTCTTTCCAAATTAAGCAGGTTTCCAGACGACCTTTATTAGGCTGTGGTAAGCTCTTGGAAATTGTCCAGGTGCTACACTATGCTGCAGAGCTGGGTCTGCAGTCCCAGTGTTGTTGTGTAATGTGATGGGAGATAAGAAATCCAGGGCACTCCTGGCCAGGACAAATCCTGCCGAGTGTACTGTTAATGCCCACTATGCAGAGTAGCAGGGCTTCACAATTAGCTGGTTTTTCCTATTATTCTTTGTAATTCAACACTTCTTTTCACAGAGGGATTTCTTTTTCCTTTTCCTCCGAGTTGGAATGGAAAAATTAACTAATGATGAGAAAGAATTCAGACCTCAGGTGCCAACACCCTGGAAGGCATGGAAATAGCACACAGGAGTCTTGCTGCATGCCTAGCAAAAAGACTTCCTGGCTGGCCTTGGCAGTGGCCCCTGGCAGGGTGTGACCATAGTCTTCTGTATCCAGGGAGGGGCAGGAAGTAAGTGAGCCTGGAGCAGGCAGTGACTGCTTGGTCTGAGTTTCAAAGGGCGTCTGACTGCATAATTCTTACAGAATGTGACAAGTGACAGGCACAGCCAATGTCCCCTTAAACCCCCCTGCTAAGTTCTGTTCCTACTTCTATTCTCTGCTGCAAGTAACCAGTAATACCAGGCATTTTTCTAAGAATTCATAACATTTGTATGAATCCATAGTATATATAGCAGATTTGAATGCTTTTACATAAATAGGTTCAAACCACACGTGAGTTATTTTATAATTTTGTTCTACTGAGTAAGGCTGAGGTGTTCATATGTATTTGTGTGTATGCATTTATATACCTTTTGGGGGAGAATAATTATAGCTTCATAGAAGTGGTGCAAGGATAGCACAGAGTTCCCAGATATGTGAGGACTTCTAAAAGCTCATAGAAAGTGCATATTATGAATCTCTAGAGGCTTGTTTTGTGCCCTATCTCATGGTCAATCTTCGAAAAGGTTCCATGTGGGGGTGAGAAATA